GGTAGGGGTTTGCTGTAACTCTGCTTTATAAATTTTATAAAGTAAAGTTACTTCCCTAGTTTATAAATCACCTTTACTGTGGAACTGGTGGGCAGTTAGAAACTTTTACTAACAGAGGTAGAAAAGTGGGCGGTAGGTATAAAAAGGTTGACTCCCCCTGCTTTAAATCCAAGCACATTCCAGTTTAATTTAGTGTGAACCGACTACTGACTTTTTGAATTTTTTTTTTGGGGGGGGGAGTATTATACAAGTATTGGGGTCACATAGATATAGTTGTATATATTTACATTCCACCTAAATCTGTGTGAAAACATTTCTTCCTTTTAGTTTATACTTTTAATCGCCCTAACAGATGGTTTGTTTCATTTACAGCCCTTGCACCTCAAGATTTTGACAGATGATGTGGTAAGCTATTTTGTTTTCCTTGTTATATCGTAAATTTCAGGAGAATTTGTTTGGGAAAATAATCTGTTATGTGTTTTGCTTCTTTGGATATAGCTGTCTGTTGAGATATAAAGCCAAACTCTATAGCGCCTTCTGACAATTCCAACTGTGTTCATCCCACATATTAAGATGTTGTGTGATTGTCCTGGTTTTGTGTGTTGTGGAAGCACAATCACCACCTTATTCTTTCTTTACTGCGATAAAATGATGGCTTGATTTTATGTCCTACTCATGCAAAGTTTCTTGGGCCTAGAAAGGGAATTATCGAAACGTAACATCTACTTCCTTATGCCCTAATCCAACCTAACTCATTTTCTCATCCCATCCTAGTGCAGGTCCATTTCCTACCCACTAAAAGGTTGTTTTAAAATCTCTGGGTAGTTCTTTTGCAGTGTGCAAAGGATGTGTTTTGCCAGAGTTATAATAGAATAGAATAACAGAGTTGGAAGGGTCCTTAGAGGTCTTCTAGTCCAACCCCCTGCTTAGGCAGGAAACCCTACACCGTTTCAGACAAATGGTTATCCACCCTCTTCTTAAAAACTTCCAGTGTTAGAGCATTTACAACTTCTGGAGGCAAATTGTTCCACTGGTTAAAGTTATTCATTTTTTAATTGGACATCTATCAATATTAGTATTTGGGAATGGTGTGGACCTAATAGCATTGAAAAATATGCCATATCTGATTAGAAGGTAGAAATATATAAGTCAACGGCAACTTTCCTAAGTGTTTTGTTGCTCAACAGCTGATTTCTGATGCCAACAACAGAGTTATCAACTAGGATGCCAGAGATGTTGGCTGATATTCTTCAATGTTTTTATGACTTGGTTGATGACATTGTGGTGGTCCGGTATGTGGAAATGGACAGGAGAAAGAGCTGCAGACAAGGCAGTGGTCAGACAGTAGCAAAGTCCAGAAAAGCAATAAGTGGTGTCTCAAAAATCTCAAAAGGGACAATCCCTGATTTCTTGAACTAAGGCAGGGGTCGGCAACCTTAAACACTCAAAGAGCCACAAAGATCCTAACTGGAAGCCCCCTGTTCAATTTTGGAGCCAACCAGAAGGCTGGTTCTCCCACCATAGAGTCTTCTCCTAGCGCGGCATACTTTCTCCGCTACCTGACCTAACTGAACGCCCTACCAGTTGTGGAGCTGACCAGAAGACCTTCTCCTTGCCATAGAGTCTCCTCCTGGCACGCTCTGCTTTCCCACTCCCAATCGGAAGTTCCTTTCAAAATTGTGGCACCAACCGGCGACAGGGAGCCACAGCAGAGGGATGAAAGAGCCACATGCAGCTCCAGAGCTGTGGGTTGCTGACCCTTGAACTAAGGGGTTGGACCAAGCAATTTACTTTCATACCTGCAAGTTTTTGTTAACCTCACAATAGAGTTAACGATAGTACTTGTAAGGGGTCCTGGGTGGTCTCTGAGCTTGGTTGCTTTCTTGCAGATGTTTCATGTTGTGGCTCGATAGGAGCCTTTGGAGCTGCTATCAGACTGACACAAAAATCTCCTGTGAGTGGTTTCAGGATGCTCACAGGAGAAGATAACAAGCAGCTGGGGCTCATTAAGGATCTCCTCCTGTGGATAAAAGACTGATAGTGCCACGCCTTAGTTGCAGAAGTCAATGTTCGTTTGTTCGTTAGTTCAGTTCCGTTCCTGTTCGAGTTCGTGTTCATGATTCAAAGAGGCACTTGGATAAGTGATTTGCTTTCTGTAAACCTGGTTTGCTGTGAGAGTTTGTTTTTGCATTTGCTGTTTAACTTTTTGACAGAGAATTTATCTATGTTTATTTTGGGCTCGCAGCCAGCAAAAGCCGGGACTGATAAAGACATTCCTTTGCAAGCTGAGTGTGGCTGTCGTTTCTGAATGAGCAAGGAGGGGGGGTCAGAACATTTCATTATCCAAACCAGGTAAAATCATTAGTGCTAGTCCGATGATGAAGTTACCTAGTT